TATTACATGGACTTTTATTATGTATTGTATTTTTTATTTATTTCTATTTGCATCGAGCTAAACTTCGTCCTCGTTTAGCAGCATATTGGGTATTCCATCGGTTATTGGAAACACGCGGCCCGTTTCGGGACATTCCAACTGTCCCTCTAGCACATCGATTTCGAAGAGTAGATGATGCAGCCGCTGTAACAGCTGTTCGTCCTCTGCCACATTGTCGGGCTGCGCTGCTGGAATGTCGTCTGCTAGTTCCGCCTAAAAGAGAATTTGCAGATTAGTCAAGGAATTTCACTCAAGAGATTGCAAATGTATTCTCCACTCACCACCTGCGCGGCGCTATAAACCGCTGACCAATCCAGTTTAGGTAGCAACCGCTCTATAAATACCGGATTGAATTCRCTTTCAATTACATCCTTTTTGTTAATCTGCGCAAAAGATTAAAGCTCGTGAAACAATCAATAGCAGGTAATCCARCAACTCACCGTTAGCTTCAATGGATAGCCCACTTTGACGCCCTTGATGGCCATCGAAGTTAAAAAATTATATGTGCTTAGTTTCATAGTGCGGCTTTAATACTTTTGAGATATAACAATAAATGCTTTACAGTTTAAATATATACAAAAACGCACGTTTTAAGCATTCACTGGGCAACGCGTGCACAACAGCTGTTTTTTCGTCGCTTGCCGGTCACATTGTGCAGAATATCGATAGAAATTGTTTGTTCCCAGAATGTTATCGCTGCATTCAAGCAATGTGACCAGCCAGCAGCACAATAATAGAGCCAGAGCAACAACTGCTGCAATTTTACGATTTTTAAACGTTTCTAAATGTAAATAAAGTGCAAATTGTGYTCCAAACATTATTMAAGCATATAATATACATTTGTAGTGCAATTATGGAGGATATTTTTCACTGGTGCCGCGAGGGCAACTCAATTCAAGTGCGCCTCTGGCTGGATGAGACCGAGCATGACATGAATTTGGGGTAAAAGCGAGTTAAAAGTGTTTAAGATTAGTGCAAATCTAACAAATTGAGCATAAAATATGCTTACTTGTGCATAAAATGTAATAAATGCTTGCAAATTGCCATATTGGGCAATAGTCGCCAACCAATTGGMGCGTGACGTCATGAYTTATTCTTGTGTTGTGTAAACAAGTTGCACACAYACAATGAGACGAAAATATGTGCGTGTGTGTATATAAGTGCGTCACTCTTACGCTCTGCCTTTGCCGCTCTCGCTCTCGCTCTTGCTCTCACTCTCTCCCTGCATATTTGTTTTTGCAGCGATGATCACGGCTTTAGTCCGCTGCATTGGGTCGCCAAGGAGGGGCATGCGAAGCTCGTGGAGACTCTGCTGCAGCGCGGCGCTCGTGTGAATGCCACGAACATGGGCGATGACATTCCCCTGCATCTGGCCGCCGCCCACGGACATCGTGAAGTAGTGCAAATGGTGAGTTCTTAAATACCCTTTAATAATTTATATTGATTGATTGAATCTAATTTTGATGTAGTTGCTGCGCGAGCGCTCGGACGTCAATGCTGTGAACGAGCATGGGAATACTCCGCTGCACTATGCCTGTTTCTGGGGCTATGACATGATCTGCGAGGATCTATTGAACGCGGGCGCTCTGGTCAGCATTGCCAACAAGGACGGTCACACAGCTATAGACAAGGCCAAGCCCAGTTTGGGCAAGCGTATACAAGATCTGGCCGAGAAGAGTGGCCAGGAGCTGAAGATCATCAGCTTCAAGGAGCAGAGCTGGATGGGCATGAAGACGCGCTCACGCGATGCTACTCTATCGCGCTTTAAGGGCATCAGCTTGGGAGATTTGGACTTGCACACAAAGATTGCAGTGACGCCCTCTGGTGAAACGTGGCGTGGTCGTTGGCAAAAGAACGATGTTGTAGCCAAGGTGGGTAGAAACTAAATGCTGAATGGCATTGATCTTTATTTGAAATTTGTATGATTAACAGATTCTCGCATTGCGTCAATGCACTTCACGCATTTCGCGTGACTTTAATGAGGAGTTTCCCAAGCTGCGCATTTTCTCGCATCCCAATATTTTGCCCATCATTGGCGCCTGCAATTCGCCTCCTAATTTGGTGGTAATCAGTCAGGTAGGTCATATCAAATACCACATCATTCAGTCCCATATAAWCCCACTTTCCTTTCCAGTTCATGCCACGTTCGTCGCTTTTCAATTTGCTGCATGGCGCATCGGGCGTTGTCGTGGACACCAGCCAGGCCGTGAGATTCGCCTTGGATATTGCACGTGGCATGGCCTATTTGCACTCCCTGGAGCGTATAATACCCACATATCATCTGAACAGTCACCACGTGATGATCGACGATGATTTGACGGCACGCATTAACATGGGYGATGCAAAGTTTTCGTTCCARGAGAAGGGTCGAATCTATCAGCCTGCTTGGATGTCGCCGGAAGCGCTGCAACGTAAGCCGGCCGACCGCAACTGGGAGGCGTCCGATATGTGGAGCTTTGCGCTGGTTATCTGGGAGCTGACCACTCGCGAGGTGCCTTTCGCCGAATGGTCGCCCATGGAGTGTGGCATGAAAATTGCACTGGAAGGATTGCGTGTCAAAATTCCGCCAGGTACTTCGTCGCATATGGCGAAGCTCATATCGATCTGTATGAACGAGGATCCGGGCAAGCGACCCAAGTTCGATATGGTTGTGCCAATTCTAGAGAAGATGAACTCCAGCGCAGTCAAGGCTTAGAGGGAAAACCCACGAAATTACCAAGCCAAAATGTGCCTGTTTACAAAAGTGTGTGTAGCTAAAAAATGATAACAAAATGGAGCCACAGGAAGTGCTTCCACGATGTGTTTTGCCAACTAATTATAATAACAATTTTTTTTTTGTTAAATTACTCAAAACTTAACTGAATCTAACCGAGTGCCTTAAAAACTTACGGAACATTTACGCCATTTTGAAAATGTCTACAGGTAATAAGAAGCTTTTAAGTTTTCTATTGTGTTCAATGTGTCTCCCTTTTTCTACTCTTTCCCTTTTACACGGTGTGCAGTAGTTTGTGTTTCGTGCTGCTCACGTTTTATGTTCTTATGAATTTCGATGGTAATGCTTGGACAGTGCTCGATTTTGTATTTTGTTTTAAGTTCATATATACATACACACAATTAACAGTTAAGCTTCTAAACGTACGTATTTATACAGCATATATATTTGTTACTAATGATTAAACGAAATTTGTGTACCTACAAACGAATTTGAAAAAATGCTGTTTGATTCTCACGACAGCTTCTGCCGCTAAAATGCAAAACAACGAAAGCTTTCTTTGAGTGTGTGTGTGAGTGTATATGGTGTGTAGTCAGCGTGAGCAAAACGGCCCTGACCTGATTTCCATTATGTGCACGCCATTCTGCAGCGCGTGGGCAGCGCAGCAGCAGAGCAATGCAGCGAAAAAGAGAGCGAGAGCAAAGATGAGAGCCGGCGTAAGCGCGCAGCTGTGAGAGCGCACTACTTTTTGAGTTTTATGCAAAAGCAGGTAGATTCACATGTATAAAAATAATATTGACTTGTGGTAAATTTAAATATGTATTAAATATTAATGAAAATCGACTAATAGCAGACAAATGATAGCACTTGGTGCTGTGGTTAGCTCGGAAGTCTTACGGCAATTTTCGCCGCTCTCTTTTCGCCGTCTTCGCCCTGTCGGCTTGGCTGTAGGTCTCTCTGTTTATGTTTTTGCGGCACCGTTATATACTTGAAGTTGCTGCTGTGCCGAAGCGGCTGCTGTTGTTGTTGTTRTTGTAGCGGCGAGCTTAAACCATGTGATTGTTTTGCTAGCTCGCTCTTCGTTCAACGGCATATCCTGTGCCCGCATGTGTGCGTGCGTGTATGTGTGTGTGTGCCGCTGCAGCTTTAAAAACTTTTGCTGCATTTTGTTGTCGTCGTCGCCATCATCATCGTCGCTGTCGCTGTCGTCGTGCTTTTCGGCCCAGAGGCTGGTCGCTCGGTCTCCAAACGGCAGCGGGCAACAACGCTGCAGTGTCCAAAAGCCGATTTACAGTTTTATATGCCAGTTATGAGTGCAACCAACAAACAGCGACCGCATTTCCGCAATGGCGAATGTGTGCACAAAAACCAAACGCAGTGAATCACTCCAATTTCGCCAAAGATAATAATTAACAGTAAAAATACAGAACTTTGCTTAAGAAAAGAAAACTAAATTTCGCTGCAGTCGCAAGCTAAACGAAATCGCCGCAGTGAAAGTGAAAAAAAATGGAAAAAATTGATGGCATCTTTTAGGCGCAGCGCATAAAAGATTCACCCCCGATTTTTTGGATACTTGCGGTCGTTTCAGTTGTTGTTGTTGTTGTTGTTGGACGCCCACCTCCCACAGCAGCTGTTTAAATGTATTTGAGTGCTTGCAACCAACAGCGGCCAGCCCCCTTGAGGGCCGGCAATCCATGGAGTATTCAAACTCTAAATGTTTGAATCATAACGAGCCAATACAAGAGCAATCACGGCAGCAGCAGCAGCAGCAAAGCGAACAGCAAAGCAGGCAAGTGTTATTTATATATATATAAAAAAAAAAAAAAAAAAAACAAAAAGACGTAAACATAAAAGATCACTTTCTGCGCATATGGCGTCATTTTATATTTACCTTATCAAATCCTGCTTCCGTAAGACGTCCGCCAAGCGTTTCTCCAATACCAGCCAATTCTGTAACGGATTTCTCCCCCATTGGCTCAGCCACGAAATTTCTGTACTTTTGAGTGGTGCCCGACATTTTTTGAGTTTACTTTTTTAGTCGCGGAAGCTCTTAAACAATTAAACGAAATGGCTACTTCAGCGAATTTCGCGTCGTTTCTAAAATGACGCACAAAATTAATGTGGCAGTATTTGGAAAACAAGAAAATACAGAATCCAAAAATATCGATAGACGTAAAATACGATATTGATAACACGTTATGCAGTGTGAAAAAATTTGAATTGAGTTAGTAATTTAAATA